TCGGCAACAAGCAATGGGTCAACGCTTGTTTCAGAGACCGATGAGACAACCATTGATTCAGATTGCAGTCAGTTCAAATCAGGCCGCAAAATTTTTGCCCCTTTTCCAAATGAACATAATGTGGCAGGAATTCAAGGAACCAGCTCGTCCAATGTGATCAAAGGAAGTTACAAGGATGTTCTTGCGATGGGGAAACATGAGAGCATAGAGGAAATCCATAGGCACAAAGGATTGATGCCCGACAAGCCAAGAAGACAAGGAAAAAAGGTGGCAAGAGGTACTCATGAAGAGAGCAGAGAAGGGAAAGGCAGAAGGAAGGGGAAAAAGAAGAAGGTGGATAACAAAATATAGAAATTTTATGACTATTTATTCGAGAAGAAAGAATCAAGATTCAAAGAGTAGAGTGAGACACCAAGGAACTTGTTGGTCATTGCGGTTAAAACATTTGTTGTGTCACATTGGCTTTTTGTATTAACTTTGTAAATGTTTGTATCTAAGTATGTTTTGTTACTATAAACACTTATTTGTGCTACTAGTGTAAACCCATTATTAATAAAGCGGGGAGGGGGTTATACCAAAACTATGATGCTAGTGGACTTAGTGGCAGCGCTTACTATGTCGAAGGAACATCAGGACGAGGAATATAAGTACAATTCATTTATTTATCAAATTCAAAATCATGATGTACAAATTTATGGAGGCGCAGATTATGCATAGCTAAAGGGCATTGCATCTGTATAAGAAGTTCCATTTTTCTATTATTATTGAGAGAAGATATTTGGTAGGGGAAACAAATAATCTGGTTCAGTTTGATTTGTGACAATTGGAGAAGATATTTGAAGGAAAATTCTGACTCATAGAAAATGACATCTCTGGAAATAAAGATATCATAGGAAGTAAGATCATAACCAAGAAACACACCTTTTCTAGCTCTAGGTTGAAATTTGGTTATGTGATTCCCTAGAGTGGCATAACACAGGCTACCAAACACCTTTAAATCAGTGAGGTCAGGAGGTGTTTTATGAATAATTTCATAGGGTGTTTTGTTGTTCACAATAGTAGAAGGAACTTTGTTGATAAGAAAGACAACATGCTTGATACAATCACCCCAAAAGCTAGCTGGCATGTCAACTTGAAATTGTAATCTTGATAAAACATGTCGGTGCTTCCTCTCTACTTTGCTATTCTGTTGAGGTGCAAGACATCTCATGAACAATTCCAATTGATTGAAAATAATCTTCCATTTGGAATTCCTTTCCCTTATCACTCTTAATCTTCTTAACCAGAGTTTGAAACTGCCTTTGCATTTGGTTACAGAATGCAATTAATTTAGGTCTAGCTTCAGATTTAAGTTGAAGCAAAATGATCCAGTTCATTCGAGAAAAGTCATCCACTATAGTCAAGAAATATTTGAATCCATCATAAGTAGGGACTAGATTAGGACCCCAAATGTCAACATAAAGGAGTTCAAAATCATATTGAGTAACACTTTGACTCGAAGGGAAAGAAAGTCTCCTTTGCTTAGAAAAGTGACAAACATCATAGGGTAAGTCTCTTTGACTTTGGATGGAGGTACAAAATTGGATGAGGTGTGGGATTTTAGAATGAAAAATAGGCCCTATACAAAAATGCCACATATCAATGGAAGGAGAACTGATTGATGAGATGTATTTAGGTGGACTATTAACTTCTAGGTAGTATAAGCCATTTGTTAATCTAGCAGAATTAGCAACTCTCATCTGCTTCAGATCCTGTATAAGACAAAGGTTAGAATGAAAAGTCAAGCTCAATGAGTTCCTTGTTGTAACACCTTAGGCAAATCCCACATCGACAAAGCACGGGAGAGATCCATGGTTCATAAGTAGGAAACCGGCCTTAACTGACAAGACGCGTTTTGGGGTGTAATGGAAGAGTTCTTGTGAGAACTCCGAAGTTAAACGTGCTCAGTGTGGAGTACAACAAGGATGGGTGACCTTATGGGAAGTCACCTTGAATTGCACCCTAAGTCGAAATCCGTGCGGGTGTAGAGGCCTAAAGCGGACAGTATCTTGTCGGGAAAAGGTTCGGGATGTTACAAGTGGTATCAGAGCCTCTCCGCGTCCCTCTTGAACGATGGTGGGGCAAACCTCAACGAGGGCGTTGAGTCCCAGGGGGGGGGGTGTATGTAACACCTTAGACAAATCCCACATCGACAAAGCACGGGAGAGATCCATGGTTCATAAGTAGGAAACCGGCCTTAACTGACAAGACGCGTTTTGGGGTGTAATGGAAGAGTTCTTGTGAGAACTCCGAAGTTAAACGTGCTCAGTGTGGAGTACAACAAGGATGGGTGACCTTATGGGAAGTCACCTTGAATTGCACCCTAAGTCGAAATCCGTGCGGGTGTAGAGGCCCAAAGCGGACAGTATCTTGTCGGGAAAAGGTTCGGGATGTTACACTTGTTGTGAGTTTGCTCACTGAAACTAAATTGAACGTGAAGTTTGGAACATATAAGACATCGTGGAGAATCAAATTCTCAATTAAGGATGTTGTTCCTGTGTGAGTTGCTTCAATATGTTCTCCAGTTGGCAGTCTTATAGACACAATTCTGAGAGAAGACAGTTCTCAAGGTAATCTAGTGAGCAAACTATATGGTTAGAGGCACCTGTTTCAAGTATTCATCTACCCTTTTGATGTGAAATGGCATTCATAACAGGCTTAGTCAAGAGACATTTTGGAGTGTTACCTCTGTTTGTTATAAAGGATGTTGCAGAATAAGATGGTTGTCCCTTCTGTGATGTCATCAGATTCATAAGCTTTTCATAGTTAGACCTGGAAAGTTTGGCCACTTCTTCCTGCTATGGAATGGTTGCATTGTTAACATAACCTCTACCTCTTCCATAGTTGGTGTTAGAGTTTCTGGGAACAAAACCTGGTGGAAACCCATTCTTCTTGAAACACTTATCCTCAGTGTGACCATGTTTCTTGCAAAATGTGCATTATATTACTCTTCCAGGTACTGATGTAGCCTTTTTAGGCCCCATTCCAGATGGCCATCCATGTTTTTTTTTTTTTTGTAGCAAGTGTCTTTTGTATGTCCTTCTTTCTTACAGAAGGTACAGAAAGGCCTCTTTGCATCAAGGTTTGGCGTTCTGTTGTTGCCTTGCATGCAAGAGCTGTCATTTCTGAGTTCACAGAGGCCACAACCTTCCCTGTCTGAGTTCCATACATTTGTCTTTCATGCTGTAACATCCTCTGAAAGACCCTGTTGATATTAAGCAGATCATCTCCAAACAAAAATGAGATATAACCCCAAAATAGTTCTCATTTAGCCATTTAAGAAATTTTATCAGATAATTTGTCTCCTGATACTCTAGGACTCTTTTCATTGCTCGACAGTCTAAGTGACTGGTAGGAGTACATTCACAAGGCAACAATGGTTGATAATTCTCCAACTCATCCCTAAGAGTAATGACTTTACCATAATCTGTAATAGTTTGGTTACCTTGTTTCAAGTTCGATAGTGTCTCTTCGGGTTCTACAACCCTTATAATATAACCAGATCCATACCTGGTCTGCAAGCTTTTCCAAGCTTCAACTACTGACTTGCTAGAAAGAATGGTCATCCTTAGGGATGGCAAATTACCCACCCATGGGTAATTATACCCAAACCCAAGTAGACCCATTGATAATGGGTTGGGTATGGGTGAAGTGCATATGAATTTGGGGGTTTATAGATGAGTTTGGGTTTGGGGCTTCCATAATCTAAATGGGTATGGGTTGGATATGAATATCCATTTACTTGAGGGTGTTTTAACTACACATGCAAAAATTGGACCTATTTGCAAAACTTGAAAAGTTTAGGTACCAAAATGTAAGACCAAAAAAATTTAGGTACCAAAACGTAATTTTCCATCGATATTTTGAGGACTTATATGCAAAAAAAATTAAATTTAGGTACTAAATATGCATGTCTATTAAGTTTGGGTACCAAACTGTAATTTGTATTTGGGCATGGGTACAACCCCAAATCCATTTGATATAAATCCAACTCAACCCAAAGTAAATGGGTATGGGTACAAACTCATCAAACTCTACCCATATCCATCTATTTGGATTTCATACCCAACCCAATTGGGTTGGATAGTAAGAAACCCATGGGTATGGGCAAAGTTGCCATCCCTAGTCATCCTGATCTCTGCCTCGATTAACTGCTGGTTCCAGCGTAAGATCATCACATTGTTCCCAACTCAAGCTTCGCACTTTGGATCTGTTTCTGCAGGTTGTGGTATGGTTCCATTAATGAATCCGAGCTTGTTCTTTGCTGCTAGAGCATTGAACATAGCTCTACTCCAATCATTATAGTTGGTAGTGTTGAGCCTCTCTGCAACCAAGATTAAACCTGGCTACTCTGATCCATGAAGGAAGTAAGGATCTTCCATCTGGTAGACGATTTGTTGAGCTTAAACTTGTTGTTGTTGTTGCTCATTTTGTGGTTGTGGTTGCGTGTTTGTAGCTTGGTTTTCTGCCAAGTGTGGCGGCTAGTTTTGGAAACCAGACTTATGATACCATAACAACAATGTTGCTTTGTAAACCCTAAAAGCCCTAAAGGCTCTTCCATTCATCTCATGCCTTTACACCAATTTTTAATAATAGATTGTACTTCGTCCAAATTGGGCCAGACAACCTACAACCATACCATGAGCCTTCACATTAATGGCATTTAGCTCCATAACACATAGGGGTGGGCATTCGGTCGGTTCGATTTCGACTGAACCGAAATTAGGCATACCGGGTCTCCGAATTCTCCCAAATCTCAAACCGAATTCGAACCGAATTATAATTTGGTTCGTCTGGTTTAAACTGGATTATAATTTGGTTCGTTTGGTTTAAACCGAATTATAATTTGGTTTGGTTCGGTTTTTCACACAAAGCCGAATTTGTGAGGCTACTTGTATCTTCTCACTTTTAAATTAATTTTTACCCCTTATATAAACAATAAATACGCAATTATATGCATCATCAATGATAAAATCAAACTTTTCAACACATAAGTCATAAAATATTTCAAATATTTAAGTTTCAAAACAACTACAAACATAAAAATCCACCATTTGGAGCTTGCAATAATTAGTATTTCGGGTTTTTTGTTGGAAATTCGGAAATTCGATTAGGTTGAAAGAACTCTGGTTTCCGAAATATCCATATTTCCCTTCCGAATTCCGAACTAAATAGTATTATTTCGATTTTGGTTCCGTTTAATTCGGTTTCGGTTCGGAAAATCCAAACCGGTTGCCCATCCCTGATACCACATGCTGATGCTATAATTGGGCCTTTGATGGGCTATGGAGGGCTCTTGTTTGCGGTTTATTCATGTATTTAACTTTTACAGGAAATGTTATTCTTATAATTATTGAATGTCAGAAAAGGCCATACATGTATGGCCGGCGAGACCGTCGAAAGTGAAATCCTCCGTCAGCTCTCAGCTGAAAAACAACCACCCTCCACAGTCCACACTTTCCTTCTCCCTTACAAAAAAAATTCCGCCGGTCTCCTTCGTTTTGTTTTCCTCGTTCATTCCAACCCTTCTGGGTCAGCTCTCTAACTTCCCCATCCCTTTCTCAATATTTAATCCTATCGCCATTTGCGCTTCTCGGGATAGCACACCAACTCTCTCCCCTCCCTCCCTCCCTTATCGCCATTGTTACAACACCTCTCGCTGAACCGAACGACCATTTCCACGTTTCCTCTACAGTTTACCCATTCCTTTTCCAGGTAATTACTCATTTCTCGCTCTCTCCTGTCCGTTGTGCTCTTCCTTTCTGCTTCTTACTTGTCAGCTTCCATGGATTGTTTCCAAGTTTAGATCTCACGCTCCTCCTCCCGCCGAATCCCTCGCAATCCCGACGATTGGCCGACCCAGTTTCCTATTTTCCGTTCAATAAGATCCGGTTCCCTCCCGGGTGCCCAGTCAATGGACTTCACCCGTGGCTCCCCAGCTCCCTTGAGCAACGGCAATGGCCACTACGAGTCCTCTTCTTCCCCATCTTCTTTCCCTTCCGGCTTCACCAAGTTCAACACCGCCCTCACGGCGGGTCTTCTCAACCCGATGTCTCCCCCGCCGGACAGGATGACCCGATCCAGCCCCACGCTGTTCGAGATGATGGCGAGTGAGCACGACGCACAGCAGCAGCCCAAGACCCAGACCCAGATCACCATTGCCGCCCCTAATGTCGCAATCCCCAAAGTCACTGCCGCCCAGCAGCAGCAGCAGCCTGCGCCTGTTCAGGACCGGCAGACCGCGGCGATGCAGCGAATCGCTGACATTCTGGGCAACCGGAGCCCCGGGAACCAGTTCAATGACTCGTCGTCCAGCGATGTCAAGCTGACGTTGAGCTCCAAGGATGGAATTAGTGTGTCGATTAGTGTTCATAGGCAGATCCTGGTCGCACACAGCCGGTTTTTCGCCGTAAAGCTTTCGGATCGATGGGCGAAGCAGCAGAAGGCTTCGGGGCCTTACGTGGTGGAAATTGCGGATTGTGATGATATTGAAGTTTACATTGAGACCTTGAGGTTGATGTACTCGAAAGATCTCAGAAGGAGGCTTATGAAGGAGGACGTTATCAAAGTTCTTGGCATTTTGAAGGTAAATTTCTTAGCTTTCTAAACTTGGGAGAATGTAGAACAAATTGTGTTCTGGCTGCTATCTATTTGATTGATCAGGAACCCTGGAATTAGATAGTGACATTCAGCACTTTTAGAGCTTGTTAGTGATATGAATTGCATGAGTTCATGGTGGAGTAAAAGTTTGAGGAAAGGATGTCTTTTTGGATGAACAGTGAACAATGCTGTAGGGTTCCTAACTGGTGAATGGTTGTTTGTTTCCTCTGGTCAGGTTTCAGCAGCTATAGGTTTTGATGCGGGGGTCTTATCTTGTTTGGAGTACTTGGAAGCTGCTCCATGGGCAGAGGATGAAGAAGAGAAAGTGGCCTCACTTCTATCCGAGCTACGACTTGAAGGAGTTGGGGCAGGTGAAGTTCTAAAAAGAGTATCCACTGAAGTCAACAATGGAGTGGAAGAGAGTAGTGACAATGAAGAAGTGCTTGTCAAACTCTTGCATGTAGTTCTGGAAGGAAAAGACGAGAAAGCCAGGCGTGAAATGAAAGGATTGGTTGCCAAAATGCTCCGGGAGAGTGCTGCTTCTCATACCAGTCTCAGAAAGGAGTCCCTGTACGCAGCTTGTGAAGGCTGTTTGCAATTGCTGCATACCCATTTTCTCCAGGCAGCATCAGGAAACTTAAAGGATGTTGCACAAATTGCTCGACAAGCTGATAACTTGCACTGGCTATTGGATATAATGATTGACAGACAGATAGCTGAGGAGTTTCTAAAGACATGGGCATCACAGACTGAACTCTCTGAAGCACATTCCAAAATACCAGCTGTTCACAGGTACGAGATCAGCAGAGTCACAGCGAGGTTGTTTGTTGGTGTCGGGAAGGGACAGATGCTGGCTTCTAAAGAGGCGAGGTGCATGCTTCTGCAGACGTGGCTGGTCCCATTCTATGACGATTTCGGGTGGATGAGGAGGGGCCATAAAGGTCTGGACAGGCATTTGATCGAGGAAGGTCTCAGCAACACCATTCTTACCCTGCCCCTCTCCTGGCAGCAAGACATTTTGCTCGCCTGGTTCGATCGGTTCTTGAACTCAGGCGAGGATTGTCCCAACATTCAGAGAGGGTTCGAGATTTGGTGGAGACGGGCGTTCTGGAGGCGGAGTGGGGAGCAAGAGAAGGCACGGTCTTTCAGAGTCGTCTCTGCAAGTGCCGAGAACTCATGAGATCATGAGGAGAAGTTTATACTGATCCCACAACAACTAAAAGTCACTTTGTTATCAGCAACACACATAAAGATGGAGGGGGAAGTGGAGTGGGTTGCAAATTGTAATGTGATGATTCTGTTGGTCCACCATTATCCATCCAGGGTGGTTTAGAAAATCTTTGATTGCTTTCTTTGTATTCTTTATGTTTCTCATTCATTGCCTTGTTGGATTCTGCCCCACTCAAAGTAGGAAGCTTCAGCTGCAACCAAATATCTGAGGATTTTTAGTTTTGGTTTTCGTTTGTACATTATTATTTTTATTATATATGAAATTGAAAAGGGGTTCATGATGTTTAGGTAAAAGAAAGAAAAGGGTGGTTCATGTCAGCTTAGTTGTGAAATTGAGGTGGGAGACACTGATTATTATGGAGTGGAAATCATTACACTTTCTTCTGAATATTTAGTGGTGCCGAGAAAGGGTCACGCTCACGCTAGTACGAGTTATGGTTGTGGATCATTTTGCTTTTGTGGCCTTCTAAAGTGGGGATTCCTTGCTGGCTTATGGAAGCTAAGGAAGCAGCAGACAGTATTTGCTTGACAATTATTATTATGTCTTTTTGCAGGGAGTGTTTTGCAAGGAAGGTTGTAATGCTGATGGAGACGCTTGGGAAGAGTGTGAGTGTTCCATATGTCTTTTAATAGTTGAGCTGTGCATCGCATCTCTTCAGGCTAGGAAGCGTGTGAAGAGAAGAGAGATGCTTCAAGGACTCACATGTATTAAAGAACCACCAATGCAGTGCTTACATTTGACTCTTTCTGCATAAGGAATGCTTCCATTCCATGCCGGGGTAGTGATGGTCATCCTGTTTGCATTTGAGTAATGTTAATCTTGTTTTGCTGTAGGAAAACTTGCGTTGAATTGAATTAAATGCGTGTTAACGTCTTCGGACAACGATTACTAAGTTATGACTCTCACCTTTTCAAATAAAATTTGAATAAGGTTGTTTGATTGATGGTGGATTACTAAGTTATGACTCTCACCTTTTCAAATAAAATTTGAATAAGGTTGTTTGATTGATGGTTTTTTAGAACAAAATCTAAGGGGTTAAAGACACATTTGGTTACTGAGATTATTAAATCGGGACATATTTAGTCACTAAAAAATTTTAATATCAAATTTGGTGACTATAATTACTAAAACGGGACACATTTAGTCACTCGTCGTTAGTTGTCGTCCAACTCCGTTAAAACACTCTGTTATGTGCTGACGTGGCTAACGTGAGCGCCTAGTCAGCGCCTTTTTGGGCCGAAAATGGTCAAACCCGACCCGCTACGTCACTAAACCCACCATATCATAACCCCAACCCGACCTGAACCAAACCCGACCCATTTAACAAAAGCAAACCCGCCTCACTTCTCCTTCCTCTCGTTCCTCATCTCCCCACCTCCACCTCTCACAAGCTTCTACCTCTCGTTCCTTATTCTCTGGATGGGAGAACAAATTCGCCAACGACGAAAGCAACAATTACCTTCTGATACAAAACAGGGGAGGAGTGAAAACAAGGGAAGGCGAAAACCAGCAGCATCAGAAGTTCAATTGATGGAAGTTTCAGAAGTTCAATTACAACGTCGATAGCTACGTCCTCAACTTCGATTGCGGGTTGGACGAGGAGGAGTATGACTACGTTAATGGGTTTTCAAGAACTCTGTTCTCTCGTCGAGATTAGGGTTTTCAAGAACTCAGGGGATAAGTGATGGGCGAGGGATCAGAGGTTCGATCAAGAATGGGGTTTCTCGGATCTGGTTGGTTTCCATGGCGGCAGCAGGGGAGAAGTAGGGGATAAGTGGTGGGTGAGGGATCAGAGGTCTGATCGAGAATGGGGTTTCTCGGATCTGGTTGGTTTCCATGGCGGCAGCAGGGGAGAAGTAGGGGATAAGTGGTGGGTGAGGGATCAGAGGTCTGATCGAGAATGGGGTTTCTCGGATCTGGTTGGTTTCCATGGTGGTAGCGGGGGAGAAGCAGAGGATAAGTGGTGGGCGAGGAATCAGAGGTCGACGACGGTGGTTGGCGCTTCTGGGTTTGGAGGAGCTCGTGGAGGATGTAGAGCAAGTGTTGGACGCGAGAGCAGGTTGGCACCGATGCCGGCAGCTGCTGGGGGAGAGCAAAATCCTCATGTTGATCTGCTAGGAGGAGAGAGATGGCGGATTTGTTTTGTTAAGAGGGTCGGGTTTGGTTCAGGGTCGGGTTGGGTTCATGGGTTGGGTTTATGATATGGTTGGTTTAGTGATGTGGCGGGTCGGGTCGGGTTTGACCATTTCCGGCCCAAAAAGGCGCTGACTAGGCGCTCACGTAAGCCATGTCAGCACATAACCAAGTCTTTTACGGAGTCGGACGGCAACTAATGGAGAGTGACTAAATGTGTCCCGTTTTAGTAATTATAGTGACCAAATTTGATATTAACTTTTTCTAGTGACTAAACATGTCCCGATTTAGTAATCTCAGTGACCAAATGTGTCTTTAACCCTAAATCTAAGTTATGGAACTCCTACACTTATGAAGATTCAGCGAGAGCGCCAAACTACGACCATGGATACATTAGCATAAAAAACTTGATGTAGGCGTCAGTTGTTTGGTTTTTGAAACCCTTTGTGATGTGATTTCCCCCCGACCATGAGAGATCCGATTCCCCGATCAGGGATCTCCCAGATAGACCGAGGAACAGAAGCAGAGATGCCCCGGTTGCTTGAAATTAAATCCCTTATTAGAGATTGCACGACCAGGGATCGGATCTGCTGTGTGGATTTTCCTTTTTCAGTGTTTTCTTTAGTTTTTATTCCATACCTATTTAATGTAAACATGAATTTAGGAGATTATACTTGGTTGAATAAGAATTTTACACTGAGGTGTTTTTCCTATGGAGCATGCATGCTTATGATTTATTGTTTTAGCTATTGGTGGATTCCATAGCTAGTGCAAGAGCTCAGATCTTGGGTAGGGGCGCTGGGGGTTCAAGATAAATACTTGGGCCTCCGACCCTTATCCCTCAGTCTAAGATGGCGACGTTATGGTTTCTGGAGGAAAAATTGCTTCAACGACCGCAAGGATGGAAGCAGAGAATGTTAACTTGGGTAGCAAAAGAGGCGTTGATCAAGTCAGTTGCGTGCTCACTCCCCCTCCACGTGATGTCGTGTTTCAAGCTCCCGTTATCCCTTTGTCGTCTCTTGGATAAACAGCCACGAGGTTTTTGTGGGGGGGTTTAAGGGGGGAAGGTCACGTATCCAATGGATGTCCTGGCGTAATATGTGTAGGAACAAGCATATGGGGGGAGAGAGAGAGAGAGAGAGAGAGAGAGAGAGAGAGAGAGAGAGAGAGAGAGATGGGTTTACATAGGTTCGAGGACTTTAATCAGGCACTTCTCACCAAAATTGGGTGGCAAATCCTTAACGAATCTCAATCGCTCTTGGTCCAGATCTATAAATGAAAATATTTCCCGACAAGATTCTTTCCCACAACAACGGTGCGGTCCCATCCTTCATGGGGCTGGTAGAGTATACTTTATGGCCGTCTTTTGCTTCAGCAGGGAATGCGTTGGCAGATTGGGAACGGTCAAGCTGCACCTATTCAAAATTCCAGCTAGGTCTCGAGGTTTCATGCTCCTCCTGCTATCCTCAGGTGATTCGGGAAGGAAGTGACTCAAAAGTGGCTGATATGATATAGCCAGGGGAAGGAAGGTGGAATGTGGAAATACTAATCACTTGTCTCAACACTATATGTATTTATGTTAAGAGATACCTATGATTTGAATGTCATGGCTTTTTCATTTTATATATTATAAATGAATACATTAGTATGAGTTTTTCTCATATACTGATAATGTTATTTATTATTTATTATCACTATTAACCAATTAATTAAATCGATTAAATTATAATTTCGTTATTTTGATCAGTTTGATTAATATATTGTACACCATAACTGCTAAAATTTAGACTTAATTGATTTGAGAATTACCATTAACCATTTGAAAACCCTACATTTGACATTTCTACCATTTGATTCTTTCCAAGTTGGTTTTTTCGTCCCAACGTTTTCCTGGATCAATATTGTGGCTTGGGCCATTTAGTTGTTTGTTTACTGTCCATTTGCTTAATCTTTTAGCGGGCTAACTAACTGGCCCAAAAGACTGAAAAAGTGAGGCTCGTATCAGGATGATATATTTTGTCCAAAATACCCTTCCGCAAATTAGGGGATGGTTCTCTGTTGCTAAGTTGGCAAAACTCCAGTTTACTCTCCTATATATATATATATGGTGACTACTTCGGTGCACTCATTAAAATGAGTGCGTTCAATCCACCCAACTCAAAAACTAGTCTTAAGGTGTCGAATTTTGAATTTTAATTTGTAGAATTAGTGTAATATGATGACATAACATATGATAAGAACTATTTAGAGGATTACCCTAAGCCCTAGACCTCCAATTTTGAGTTCTATCCCTAAACCCCAAATTGTAAACCCTAATCCTAAATCTCTAAACTCTAAATCCTTCAAATTAAAGTAAATCTTTAATGATTTTTGTGCAAATTTATGTGCGTTATTGTTCATCACATCATAAGTGATGATTGACATCATTTTGACATAAATCGCATGTTTAAAATAACAGTTATGGAGCGAGTGCACTGAATGCACCCAAAAAAGTGAGTGCACCGAAGACGCCACCATATATATATATATATATATATATATATATATATTTTTTTTTTTTTTTTTTTTTTTTATTTGACTTGATGATTTGATTTGATATATGTATTATGCATTGTAGTTTATGCATTTAAACTTGTAGGTCAGCTATAGAAACATTTTGCTTTTCTACCATTTTTACTGCACAAGAAAAAGTGCACTAGCATTAGGGCTGAAAATTTGGTACCGGTATTTGGTATATATCGAATATCGCACCGAATTTGTCTATATTTGGTATTACCAAATACACTTATTATTTTATGGGATTGAGATTGAGATTGAATTTCAATTGTTATTTGGTATTAGGGATTACGGGATTGAGATCAGTATATACCGAAATACCGATCAATACCGAAATATAAGCTAGTGTGTATTTAATTCTCTCAACTAGACTCTCTCATTCACTACTACGCGACCATCAACCATTAAAAGTGTCATTTAATTATACATAGATCATTACATCACTATTTCACACTAGTATTAGTCGTCTCTCAACCTCAAATTCGTCAAATTAAAGATTACCAATTACAAAAATTTGAGATGTTAGCTATAGGCAACTCAAGGCTATTTGCTTAGTCTCTTTGCCCTAAATTAAACAATAAAATATAATTTATATATTTAATTATTAATTGCAAAGGTAATTAATTATGTATTCGATAATACCGATTGGAATACCGAGGTACCGATTGGGATACCGAAACTATTTAGAAATTGGGATTGAGATTAATTTTAGGGTGTAATTCGGCATTCGGGATTTCAATATTTGGTATTGGGATACCGATACCGTACCAATTTCCACCCTAACCATTAGAACTCGTTCTGCATTAATTTGAGACGAGCAAACGTACATCAAAATGTTACATGTATTGCCCTATCAAGAAGAGTGAAAGCACATATCAGTCACCAAAATGCCATACTTACACGGGGCGGCCTCTACATCTCTTCTTTCCTCTATTTGTAAAAACCAGAAACAGATGAAGAAAAGAAAAGAAAGTATTTTGTCCAGAGAAACAAAAGGAAGGGGTGTGTTAAGAAGATACATAATGGCGGGGAATGAATGTACAATCGCCAATCCAACTCTACTTTATCAGAATTGGTAAAGCGAGTAGCTCTTGCTCTTCCAGAAGAAACTAAAAGCTCTGCTCATCTTTCTTCTGGATGCAGCTTTACATAGCGGCTTCATTTCCGGGGTTGGCCCCGGTTTAGAAGTACTACTCTCAGCTCGCGGCATTGCAGCAGCAGCTTGTTGAGCAGAGGGAGCAAGAGATGGTGATGGCTGTTGTTGGTGGTGGTGTTGGTGCTGCTGCTGCTCTCTGTGGCGCTGCTCGCGGAAGAGCATCAGAAGTCGTTGTGCCTTCTCCTTGCCTCTTGCAGTACCATTTACAGAGATGGAGACCAGTGCAGGAATGACCCCTTCCTGTAAGACCATTTGACTACAGAGTTCATTCCCATTGCATAGCATGTAGAGACACGCAACGGCTTGTTCCTGCTCGACTGTTTCTCCGATATCAAGTAATGATGCTATTGTGGTTATCAGGCCGGAGGAAGATGCGATCTCTGCTTTGCCTGATTGACTCGAGCATAAGTTTATCATTACTGCTATGGCCTTCTCAGTCCATGAGTGATCATTGCCGGGTGAAGAGAGGAGGGATTGGAGGCCGTTCACTATTCCAGCGGAAAGGAGGTTTGAGATGTTGGAAGGGTTGGAGGAGAGGTTGAAGAGGGCATGCAGAGCATCGAGCTTGCACAGTGTTGGATATTGACCTTGCAGGATTTGGATTAGGAATGGTACAGCAAGGCTTGATCCAAGGACGGATTTGGCTTCTTCAAGGCAGGATAAGTTGAGGTAGAGGGCAGTTACTGAGGCATGGGAGTCTGAGGTTGAGATCATCTCCTCAAGTAGTGGGAGGATTCCAGCGGCTAACATCATTTCTTTGTTCCTGAAAATTCAAAATAGCACAATGGGAATTCCTGGTCTGGGACTCACCTGTAACATACTACTACCATGTTGACAAACTTTACACTAACCTGTTGTTGTTGACTGCAAGGTTGAACAGAGCCATGGCGCCACTATCCTGAGCCGAACCATTCCTAGCTCGAACAGCCAACTGCAGAAACTGCAGAAGTGCTTCCACAAATCCATTCGCTCCCATGTAAATCCTTGCATCTCCGTCATCCTTCAACGACAACCTCACTTCTTCGACTATCCTGCACTTCTTGTTCAAGTTCTCACCCTCATCATTCAACACACTCAAAAAGCCCCGATATCTCTTCAACGCATCAACCTCATTGTCTTCCTCTTCCTCCTCCTCGTGGATATCTTCATCCACTGGAGATAAACTCTCCATTTCACTCTCGTCGGCCTCCTCCAAAGGAACAACCTTCGCAATTTTGACAAAATCAGGTTTGAGATTGTCAGTTGACTTCGAGTTTAACTCGGATTGAGACAACGCCAACCGCCAGTAGTTCAAGTCCAAGGAATCCGGAGGACCCTCGGGGACAAGAACTCCATTCTGTTCGCACCAACTGCCAACAAGGCCTTTGACACAGTAGTTTGGAGTCAAAAACAAATGAGGCAGTTTCTGTTGAGTCTTGGGACAAGTGTCATGTCCATCACTGAACCATTTCTCAATACATATCCTCTCGTAAGTTTGCCCTGAAGCAATGATGACTGGATCGTACATGAGCTGGAGCGATATCGGACACCTCAGCTCCTCCGGTGGGACCGCCAATTGCTCAGACTTCCTAAAATTTGGAATCTTGAAGTTGAAAGAGCTGAGCTTAGAAAGGTGGCGGTCGAACGCCTGGTTATTATTATCATCAAGCGAATTTAAGATAGTCGGGGAACAAGGTGTTGAACCCTGCGAGTCGTTGTCATCTGCTGTAAGGTCTGTTCGGAATAGCTTGGAGTATTTCCTCATGAGGTGTAAGAGATAAGCTACAATGGACTCCTTTCGCTTGTCTTCCTCCACACGAGCTCTGTCTATGAGTTTCTTGAGACACCTTCGTTCAGTGAGAGCTGCCCGGGAAGAGGTGATACCTGAATAGGGTTTAAAATGGAATGCATGAATAGCTTTTAGAATACATAATAGCTAAAATATATATATAAAGATAGTCACCAAATAACTGCCAGATGATCATTATACCCTGAAACAATACCTAGCTTAGTAGCAGCCTGATGAAAGGATTCAAGCTCGTTGCTATCATTGCAGTTGTCGAACTTACGGCCTTGTTGAAGCAAGGCGATGATCTCATCACCGATTTGTTTCTCTGATGGATCGAGTGAAAATGTGATCGACTCAAGTTCATTCACAATGTCCAAAATCTGAAGGGAAAAAGAAACGTAAATATGCAAGCCACATAATTAAATTATAAGAAACAATAACTTGAGAGGGGAAATCGAAAATTCTTACTTGACACCCAATAGATTGTGGAACAATATCTTCGACTCGCTTCAAACCATCTCCAAGGGCAGCTCTTGCCTTTTCAAATTTTAGAAGGACGGAGTCCCCAGTTATGGCCTGTATAATGATAATTTCGTGAGCATTTTGAAGGAACTGAAGCAATCGAGTAAGGCAGAGAAAGAAAGATTATCTTCTCACCAAATAAAGTTTGCTACATTCTGAGCAGTGCTGGAGAACGTTTTTCGCTTTTTCGAGTGCTATATGGAGTGAACATAGTGCTTGTATGCCCGACTTGCTCCTAGGCCTTGCTGCTTCTAAGGAGGGGAATACAGACAAGATCTTGCAATAGATTGCAGATAAAGCTTTGCACATTTCGCCATGCAACTGAAACAGTTAGTAATGCAATCTTCAGTCAATTTGTTTACACACAGCAAAAGAAGTTCAATCAACAATGGAATCAACCGATTAGTAAATTGGACCAAGATGCGAATTTTACAGCTTCCTTTTCTCAGGGTTAGCATACCATACTTCCAATTCCAAACTTGAAAACAGGGGCCAAGGATAAATCCCTTTACATGACTATCAGAACAAGCGATAATACCTTTGCATCAGTAGCTGCAAAAAGACTTTCTTCAACTTCGGCAATATCCATCATTTTCAATCAAAAGGGGATCCTTCAAGCATAAATCTATATTAACTACAACACGACAAAACAAAGCAAAGTTAAGTAGGAATCCCAATCTTCCAAATCATATGAAATCATATGAAACTATGGAAAAGGTAATCACTCATTTCAGGTAATCACATGATTCCCACCATAAAAGCGGACACGAAATGAGAGAAACATATCATGATTCCAACAGGGAAGCTCAATTGATGATGGAAAGGCAACTTTCCATTTGTATCCCAAAATCATTCACAAGAATACAACAGATGCAAGCGACCATTAGAGAGAGAAAAAAACCGAGTTACATTTTCAGAAGAGAAAAAAAAGACAAGCCCGAGTCACGGAGTCAGTGATTCAGACATTTCATCGAACAGTTAACAGGAACTATAAATCCTTTGCATAAAAACTCAACGAAATATGCTGGGGAGAAAAAAAAAAAGAAACAGAAACCAGGGGGGAAAAGTACATGAACCCTACAGATTCAATTTCTTTGAAGTTCTCTCGAGGGAAGATCTCGTTGCAGAGAAGATGGAAGAAACCCAAAAACAGAAATGCAAATCCCAGTAAACCCAAAACCTTCTTTAAACCCCCCAAAAAAAACCAATCCAGAACAGCACTAATCACAACTAACAACAAAGGAACGTCAGCTCCTGAGATAAAACGTCATAACAGACGAACAGAAAGAAGGAAGAGAAGCCTCAGTTACAACGACAAACGCAACCCGCCTACCAGAAATGGATTCAGGCAACAAACCGAACAGAAAAAACAACAGAGAGCAAGAAGAGAAAAGGGGAAACAAACGAACAGCTAATAGAGTAACTAATTTAGGGGGTTGTTTGCCACAAACAGCCAACTTACCGGCTGAAAAGGGGACGGAAATGGCCAAGGAGGCTTCATATAAGGGGAACAGAAACAGAGCAACAAGAAGTACTGATTTATTAGGTTTTCGAATTCAATGGAGAGATTCCATTGCAGCAGTTTGGGGAGAATGAAGAAGAAGTTCGAATTGGGAGAGAAGATTGAAGTGGGGATGGAGGGGGAAGCTGCAAATGCGCATTGGGGAAGAAGGGAATAATATAATGAGAGAATACTGAGTACCAAAAAAATAATAAGAGTAATTTATGATTTATCTATTTGTTTCCATTACGGAATTAGGGAAGGGTAGATTAATATTTGGTGGTTAGATTGCTAAGATCAATTTGTTCGACATGGTGTTAATATTAGCTCATGTAATAAAGAATACCAGTTATTTGGCCCGCGCTTCGCAGCGGTTATAAACTAATTATTTATTTTGATAAGAAATTTCATCCACTTATTCAATTGTTTAGTTAAAACAAAATTATTCACAAAATATTTCAAGTAAAACACTTTTAATAACTTTTATGTAGTATCTTAATTATTACTGAGGTAAAATATTTGTTTGATTGATACATATGTAATAACTATCCCTTCAACCTTCATAAGCTTTGCATATAGAGTGTATTTTAAGAATTGTTATAGAATGGTGTTACGTAATCTTTTATAATATGTCGTCTAATAATAAAACCAAGATACAAATTTTACATTTGATTAAACTATTATATAATATTAACTTATCTTACATAAGCTTTAATTCCGTTGTAATTCAAATTGATGAGATGTTAAATGTGGTAGGCAATAATAATAATAAATAGTTAATAATAGGTGAACTATGTTATAAAAAGTATCACATTTGATTAACCTGTTATGTAAAATATAATTGACCTTAAAAACCTTTGTGTAAACCAATTGATGAGATTGTAAAAAATTTAGTAACTAATTTAGGAATTTTCACTCAAAAGTCAAAACTAATATCATGAAGGCTTATGTGATATTTTTTTAAATGATTCATAAGAAATTATTATATCCATAAAGTTTGTGTATTGTCTTAGTCATTAAACTTATATTTGCGTTTTATTTAATTGACAATATAATTATGACCTGAAATTTTTGCGTTAGAAAAATTTACTAAAACGAATATCATATTGTAAAACACATAAAATTTGATATTTATACGCAAAAAAATTTTGAATCCAATTTAAAATGAAAGAACTATTGTCCATTGAATTTTCAGAGAAAATTTGAAAAGTGCTTTGACAACACATATGAAAATCCATGCACTGTCCCAACCGGTGAGCGGCCAAAAAGTCTGTCAGTTTTGTTCTAAATTCCTTATTTACCTCATTCCCCTTTATGATATGAATCATTAGATCTATTTTTTGATAAATTACAATAATATTGAAAATAGGAACTTAGGAAGAGTTTTGTATTAAAACCTATTCCATATAATGGTTATGAAGGAGAAATGCATAGGTTGAGAAATTTTTTGAATCCAATTTAAAGTGAAAGAACTATTGTCCATTGAATTTTCAGAGAAAATTTGAAAAGTGCTTTGACAACACATATGAAAATCCATGCACTGTCCCAACCGGTGAGGGGCCAAAAAGTCTGTCAGTTCTGTTCTAAATTCCTTATTTACCTCATTCCCCTTTATGATATGAATCATTAGATCTATTTTTTGATAAATTACAATAATATTGAAAATAGGAACTTAGGAAGAGTTTTGTATTGAAACCTATTCCATATAATGGTTATGAAGGAGAAATGCATAGGTTGAGAAATTAGAGGGCTCAGGGCTGCATTGGAGATGCTTGGACAGCCGCCCTAGAGCTCACAAGTGGTTTAGGTACACACGACTACAGGAAATTAGAAGAAAAGAGGGTTTATGAACAGTAACCCAAGCTAACCCGTTTTTTTCGTATGCAACAGTTAATAATCTTGGGCCTTAATAATTCTAATTTCACTTTGATAATTTTTCATTTTTGAAAGGTTGATCATAATTAATTTTTATTTGGAAAAGCAGTGACATACTTATCATTTTTAAAAATATAGCAACACACGCGTGTGATGTTGCTCATTTATTATGCATCTCGTCCATCACAAAACACAGACAAATAACACAACAAAAGACATAAAGTAGATCAGAAACTTTATAAAACATACTAAAACATCACCACGCCACAAAATTCACAAAGCATATTAGAAAACTCAAAGCTAACCACAGTTTTCTAAAAACATATCAGAATTATCATAAAAGCATACCACAAGTTCCCCAAATCAGATCAGCAACCTCATAAAGCAAACTATAAGTTCCTAGAAGCATATTAGAAATCTCATAAAAGCATACCAAAGGTTCCCTAAAGTGTACCAGAAATCTAAAAAAAAGCATATCAAAAGTTCCCTCGAGCACATTAGAAATTTCATAAAGCAAATCATAAGTTTCTCGAAGCATACCAAATTTCTCATAAATCATATCACAAGTTCACTTAACCGAACCAGAAATCTCATAAAGCAGATCACGAGTTCCCTGAAACAGACTAGAAACCTCATAAAACATACTATAAGCTTCCAGAAACAAACCGGAAATATGTGCAACCACACCAGAACTCTTATGAAACAAACCAGAAAAACGAGAATACTTCATGTAGTAAACCAAAAACGTTACAAAGGATGACAAGTAATAAGAAATTATAATGGTGAAATATTTTTTGATAATGACAAATTATTTTTTTACAAGTATCATGTTTCTTTATTTACTAAAAAAGAAGTGGAGGTGCGGATGAAGGGTAGGAGTTTACAAGCGGGAGGGAGAAAAAAACGAGCAAGAAAGGAATGAGTAACTGCTAGGCTTAAGATACGGTGGGTTTGCACCTATCAGTAACTAAATCCGGACCATTCATTCAGAAAATTCAGATCTAAAGATAGAGAATTAAAGGTTATTTTTATTTTCCCATGTTTTCTTAATCGACTCATATCTTCTTCGGTTTAACTTGGATTTCAATTTTTTTTTTCACAGATGGAGCGAGTTTGTTGTACTCTAACTCACGAATTCCTGAATTTATTTGAGTAATCCACAAATGGCGAAAGTTCCTTTTCTATCTATCTCTATCCCGATAGGCTGAAACCAAAGCTCTTAGTTTTTGTTGAATAATAGTTCGACTAAGTCTTGAATGAGCCCCGCGAAAGCTTGATGCGAATAAACGAAGTTTTGTTCTCCGCCTTCGAGCTATATATCCTCGTCTAATTCTGGTCATTGAATAAAGAAACTTTGATTAATAACTTTTCGATTTTTTTTCTTTCAGTTATTCTTTTATGCTTTTCTATAATAACAAAACATATTCTTCCCATATATAAAAAAAATCCAAGGGCTTTTGCTACTATAACCTTCCCAACCACTATTATTTTCTAAGCATTTGGCCTCGAAATAATAAAATTGCATTGATACTAGTACTAGGTATCAAAGTAAATATAAATGAATAAAGAAATTGTGGGTTCCATCGTTTTTATGGTTTCTTATTAAACGGTGAGGTCTTCTCTATACACCGGAGCTCCTTCTTTCATTTAATCAATCTATTATTAAGTTGTACAATTCACACTCTTTGGCTCTACCCCTGAATTATCCAGTAATAGGTCTTTCATAACGAGATCGATCTATACAGTAACGGTATTTAATTATGAAGATTAGCTAATTAGCGGGCCCTCTAAGTCTGTTCATGCAAGAGCAGTGCCAATTTTCGGCCTTTAAATTTAAATAGGATTTTTCCCGGCTTATGGATAATCCTTTATTATCAATGGGGAATTTTTTCTCATTTGAAATTTAAAATTGAGGTGATTGAATTTATACCGATGGAAACCATAAATGGGATAAACTTGTAATGTATATATTTTTTTCTATTTCTATATAACCATCTATTCAGATTATATTCTAGATTTATTTTCTAGATAATTTTTTGTATTTTAAGGTAGTTTTAGATAATGCCATTTTTGTTGGAATGTTCTAACGAATCTTAGTATTATTACTAATAATATGATATCGGATCGCTTAAAATTCCGAAATTCAATAATATCAAAATAAAAAAATCATCGCGGGTGAATATTCACTCGTTCAATATTTACTTCATTTGTTGAGT